AAACCTCACCCGACACCCCCCCCCCCCCCTTTCAAATCAGAAGCCCTACTTTTATATCAGAGCCCCCCCCCTTTCACATCACAGTCCCACTACCACAACATTTTAAAGCACCCCTGAGGAGGGCAGGAGGGACACCAGGTTACCACAGCACCCTGGTTGAGAAAAGCTGCTCTATGGACAGCTCTGTTTGTAGGTCATTGAAAGCTGTTGGAGTGTCACTAAAGGGAATCTTTCCTGCTCATGGTCCGATAGTATGAAGACAGCACAATCGCAAAGCTGCTTGTACCATCGTTGATTTTCTAAAAGAAACCAATTGCACAAAATGCTGCCTATTGTCTGGTGTACAAAGAGATCCTATTGGTTATGCATCTGTATATAATGTATTGTCATCATAAATACCTATAAAGACAAATTTAACCCCGTTGAACATATGGAAAGAATACCTTCACATGTACACATTCTTACAAGTTGAACATTTCCACAGCAGTAAGTGCCGGATTGATACAATGGTCTTTTTTCTCCATTTCCGCGTTTATCATAAAACTTTTTCCCTGACATTTCCATATTCTACCACCCTTCCCCCAACAGATTCTAGAATGTCATCAAAGTAGGTGAAATCTCTAACCATAATAATAATTGCCATGTTTCTTTTTCCATCAGATTCCTGTTATCACCCTTTTTTTTTTTCTTGCATCTCCTTGCCTCTGATTAAAAAGCTGACAGGGTTATAACCCGCCCTCACTCTATCCAAAAATGAAAACTAAGTTTTGGTTTCAGTCTTACTTTATAGCTTATATAAGACTTTAGTTATAGGGTATAGATCTATTTTTAGGATACATACCAAACTTAAAAAAATAATGAAGTTCTTCCATGAAGCGTTTTAGGAATTCCTCTTCAAATGCCATTCCAGGTTTATTGGCAAAATAAGTGTTTAAAAAGGTCCTGGAGTGGAATCCGCCATCATGGTAAATCTTATGCTGGGTAGGATCCATCTTGTAATATTGTATCGCCTATACAGGTTCCTTGGCTGTCTGATGTCATCTGATGTGTGTACCCGATGCTCGCGTTCACATCATTTTTATATGTATCTGTGTTCAGTATTAATGCATGCGGATTAATATTATCACAATGTGACTTCTCCTGTGTCTACTTCACAGACTTGAGCTGATAGTAATGTGACTGAGCGTGGAAGAAAATAAATATGTTTTAGCTCACAAGATACATTACATTATACAAAACAAAGTCTGCTCTCCATTGTGTGAACCAGAGAAAGAATATTTTAACTCATTGCTGAGCTTTACTACTTAAAAGGTAATTAGATTTTTTTTATATACGTATATAGATATATATATATCTATATATATATATATTATTATTTTTTTAACTAAAAAGAAGAAAAATAATTAGGAAAATTATCTTACTCTTGATTTTTTTTGGTGTTATTTTCATTTATATTTATTATGCATTATTCTCTTTCATTGTTGAAGCCGTTACTAACTTATTACATATGGATTGGTTTTCCTATTTTAGGACGAATTTATCCCCCCGAGGAAGCCCCATCGGACGAAACATGTTGGGGTACTTAGAAAGAACCAATGCTTTTACCCAATCCATTATAAACATCATATGTCAAGTACTGTAATACTAATTGTATTGTGGTTATTTATCTAACCAATCCTTCAACTGTGTTTTTTTTTAAATCAAATCTTTTGATGTATGGATATTGTTATTTAATAAATGATTTTCTACAATTTAAAAAAAAAGAGAGCGCTAAAGTGTTTCTTTAAAGCCCCCCCCTTTCGGATCCTTGCATACCTGAAAGTGGGTTACTCATTACTCCATCATCCAATTTACTGCATTGGGGTGTGAAACCTTGCTCTTTCTTTTAAGTACACGCCCACTAATGTTAAATAAATAATTAGAAAAGTGAAATATACTGTGTATATGCATGCTAACGCTGTGAATATGTTCAAAAATATAGTGCCAAATTTATACATTCTTTGAAATATTGGACAAATCCAAAAATCCGTTTTTTTAAATGTTTTTATTTGATAGGAAAAATGATTAAAATGCAAAAATAAAAAATATACATTTGTATGACCGTGCTGTACATATTTGCTGTAACGTTATATTAAAAATGTTTATATCTTTTTGGACAGTCCTGGCAACCACAATAATTCCTCCAGTCCAGATCAGTCTGAGCCTGAAGATGTATGCGTGATGTGTCGCTCTTCACCTCACATCCGCTCATCTGACTTTAACATTGAAGGTCTCTAACTTTCAACCAAGGTCATATAAGCTCAGCACCCAGCGGCATCCCGAGGCTGGGTGACACCCGGAGCGGTGTCCGAGTGTGACCCCGCCAAGACGTCACCGTGCACGTGCGCGATGACGTCATCGAGCACGCTGCAGTATTCTGATACCTGCCGGCGGCCATCTTGGTGATGGACGCCGGCAGAGAGAGGAGGGGACAGTCACCCGGCGGGATAAGATATGCCGCCGGGTCCCCTCCTCTCTCCTGATACTGTCGGGCGTTCGGTCCACTGTGAGTCATTTTGGTGTCACCCCTCCAATGGTGTCACCCAGGTGCTGGCCGCACCCCCCTTGTGACGTCACTGGCTTCAATGAAATGCAGTGACGTGGGATTCATTCTCAGAACTGGGAGCTGTCTGCTGGGTGACAGGAGGCCGTAAACTGTGTGCAGAGAATAACTTCAGAAGATTTTAGTTCAGTTTCCTTTTCAGAAGCCTTGAAACTATTTATTTATTTTACATTTAAAGAAATTTTCTAAATCAGTGGTTCTCAACCTGTGTAACTTCAGGATCCAGATTTGTCCTTGGTCATTAAGTCGCGACCCAAGTCACACCACACTGGAACACACTGGAACACACGGCATTGCGGTACTGCATTTTACGGTGCAAGCGATCAAACTGTGAGAGGGATTTGTGATTCGGGTGCCATTCAAATGAATGGCAACGCAACGCACCTCAGACACAATCTCACACATTCTCACACACACATACACACTCCCAAAAAAATTCTTAGGGGTCCAGTGTGGGCTGCTGTGCTGTGGCAGAGCTCCCTCATTATGTGCATTGCTTGTACAGCTCCCTTGCACTCCCTGCAGAGGTGGCGGGAGCCAGAATGTGACGTCACTTGAGTGCATGTGAGGGAGCTCTAAGCAATGCACGTATGGATGGAGGTCCCTCGCGGCCATGCCCCAGCCCACCTCAAGCTGACACTCGGCGGCAGGCAGCATATTTTGAATGGCTGCTCGGTGTAGAAGTGACAGTGCTGTGCTACGGGGAAGGCTGAGGAGCCTCTAACCTAGTGCAGTGGAAGGCATGTGGCGACCCACTAAACATGGAGTTCGTGACCCACCAGTTGAGAACCTTGGGTCTAAATGTGTGGCTACTACTGTAAGTAGTCATTCACCTGTTTACCTTCAACATTGCCATGTAGAGTAAATTTTCAATGAATAGATGATAAAGTATACAATTCTTTTAAAACTTATACACATAAACACCCAACAGCTGGAGAAAAAAACATTTTATTAACATTTTTAAAATGACATATTATGTTATTTATTATTACGCAAACTCCATTATTTTTAGTTTACATAACAGAGTCTTTTATGATCCTTAAGGATAAATCATCAGAAACCATCAGAAGAAAGAAATCATCAGAAACTTGACAGAAATAAAGGTTGAACCAGAAAGGCTAAGAAGCCCCCTACGTGATAACAAATATACAGTGACAGGTCCCCTTAATGGATACATCACGGGTCCCTAAGACCTCATGCAAGCTATCGAACCGCTATAGAGCGGCCCAAACGATTGTATGTCACAGCCGGTACCGGCTGTTAAAAGATTTTTTCGTGATTCTGCTCACGTCGGTAATTTTGCAGAAAAATCACATTTGCCGAAATCGCTTTGCTCATCCCTATGTACTGCTAACTATAACAGCAAAAACATTATCACATACATATGATGCTGAAGATGCCACCCCTACTAGAACTTTTATCCTCAAAATCTATGTTACCGCAAAAATCCCAGCACCTAAAATATTATGCCTACAACTAATCATCTATCATTATTATTAATTAGTATTATTAGTATATAAGTAGTTTATTTTGATTGTTTTCTGTGCTAATCTTCTTCCTCTTTCCGAGCTGCGACAAAGACGACCGCTTTAAAATCACTCAGGTCACTCTCCTTTCTCCTACGTTGAACCTCACAGTGCCTGATGGAGTACCCTTCTTCTTCGAGAGCTGTTATCAGGAAACTCTTGTCGTATTCAAGAACATGGAACTTTTCTCCATCGAGTGTGAAATATGTCGCGTGCAGCAACCCAAATAATATTAAGTGTCCATCGGGCTTCAGCAGCTTAGTGAACAGTTTGAGGTTCCTGATGTATTCATCTTTGTCTTTGCTGACGACATCCAGGACTAATCCAATAAAGAGACAGTCGGCTGGTGGTAACTGGAGGGGGTCGGTGATGTTTTCTTTATCGATGCAACATTTCAACACGTGCTTAATTTTCGCCTTCAGGCGCTTATCCTTCTCTTCTGATTGGCTGCTGCAATTTAGAAACAGAATGATATACATATTATGAAAAGTAAGCATGATGACCTAATGGATCACATCATGTGGTCTGAGTTAATGCCAGGCTTTCCAGTTGGGCTTTGTCAGCACATTTGTCCTGTGTATGTAGTGGTCACTTTGACTTCTTAATTTTCCTTCAAAAGCCAACCAAATAATGGTGAGTTAAAGGAGAACTACGGGGGTAGGGCTTTTCCCCATAGTTCTCCTTAGGGTAACGGGAGGACACAAACTAGCGTCCTCCCGTCACCCAAAGCTCAGTATACCGCGAGCTGTAGCTTGCGGTATACTGAGACGCCGCAGCTGAAGCGGATCACGACAATTGTGCCGGGATCCGCCCAGCTGAGTGACTGACAGCTGGCTTTGCCTATTTAGAGGCAGAGCCAGCTGTACCCGCCCCGTCCGTTTCGCCAGTCAGCACTGGAGGATCGGACATGGGGAGGGGGGGAATCCCTGCAGGGAGCCATGAGTGACAGTCACGGCTCTCTGCACGGATAGATCGAGAAGTCAGCGAGTGCCGGTATGCGTTCGCTCACTTCCCGATCTACTGAGCCGACCTGTGACAGTTTCATTGTCACAGGTCGGCTCAGATTATGAGGCTGAGTGAAAATCACTCGCCTCATAATTCTCCTTTAAGGAATATCTGTAAAAAAAACCTGAAATACTTATGTGGGAAGCCATTGATGGAGCCTGCCATTTTCTTACTTTTGTTCTGCATGCTTTTTCTCAGACAGTGATCTCATCCTGAAACATTTTTTTATGCCCTAGACCTAACACGTGGCCCAGAATAGAGAGAATGTCAGGCTTCCCCGAAGGTTCTCCTCTTCTCTCTGCTTCTTGACCAAGTCTCTTTAAGGGAAACCTATAGTAAGAGATCAATGGAGGCTGCCATTGCTGATCCTCTGGAGAAACTAGTTGACTAGCTATCATTCTGATCCTCTGGCCTCAGTGCATTTTGAGTCAATAGCCTGACATAAGTACTTAGATTAGAAGTTCTGATTTCACTCCTACTTTGCTGGTTGTATGTTTTGCTGGGCTGGCTTTCTCCAAACTCTTCACCCTCCTGTGAATAACCCTGTTGAGTCTTTCTACCCTACTTCTTAGCAGAGCCCCGTAATTGGAGTCCAACTCCTGTAAAACTTTCATATTTAGTTTATGGGTAAAGCAGTCAAGGTTTAGAATCTGGATTTTATTGCTGTCTATGACCTCATCTATTATATTCCCCCACACTTCTTGTGTTGTCACCAAAACAGGAGTGAGTGGTAAACTCCCCAAAAGAGACACAATAAAAAAAGGTTTTAACCCTTCCCCATTCAATCCAGAACTAAATAGATCTTACAGCTAAGATTTATTTAAGGGTCTATTCACTACGTTGCCGTAGGCAGCCGAGTGAATGACCGACCTGAAGCCTGAGACCAGGTGGAGCAACGATCCTTCCTCCCCCCCCACCCCGGTTAACCCCTCATGCACCGCATAGGTGCAATATCCGTCCACCAGGGTTTATCCAGATGGCAGGGGAGAAAAATTAAACGAAGAAAAAGAGGAAAACTCCTAAGTGCAGCGATTAAAAAAATGTATTATACACAAAGTTATTTCTGCACTTACAAGATTCAAAGAATAAAAGCGTTTGTTAAAATCTTTGATTATCACAAGTTTACACTATAATTGTCCCAAACACTGGTGGTATCTTTACCTCCAAATTATTGGAGGAAACAACGCTCAGTCACATCTGTTATTAACACAAGAGAAGATTTGCACATTATTGTAAGGTGTAGGAGATCACACGGGGTTTTCGGTAAATAATTCACTTCCAGAAGGAATCACTTTATCAATTCATCTAACAATCAACAATGTGAGAGAACACATGTATTAACCCACGGTCATTTATTTATATATGATACATAGTTGTTTTACAGGTGACACAGTTCATTTATTTATTCCTTCACTTTATACACCAAGCGTAGCATACTGTAGACTTCAAAAATGACACTATACATTCTCATTAAATAAAAAACGTTCACATGCAACGAGATCATTGGACAGATACTCAACCTGTTTCCTTCTTTCTCTGCAACAAATGACGAGGTGTGCTTCCAGTCGAAGGCTCCGGTGTGACCGTGCAGCCATCTTTTCACCTCTATGATGCAGTGATCGTTGAATTTCAGGAGGATGATCTCTCTGAAATACTCACAGGCTGAATAGAGGTGGAAAAAGACAGGACCGATGGACAGGTCAATCATTAACCCTCCTTCGATATTAGCTGAAAAAATAAAAAAATCCTAAAGTTATTTTAAAGGGTTACGTAGAGGCCAATTTATCAATGTTTTCACTGAAGATTCGCACATTGTTCAACTCAGTTTGAAAAAGGTGTAAACCATGGAAGAAAACATTGGTAGGTAGACCCAATAAAGTAGATGTAAACCCTAACTGAATTACCTTTACTTTGCTATAGCACTGTGTATCATAATAAATTATGTTTTAATAAAATACCTGTTTTCATTCTTTGTTCCATCTCAGTGCTGTTGATCTCCTGCAGCCTCTTTGCTTAGCCACATCCTGTCTACATGCACTCCAACAATGGCTGCATGGCATTTTCAGGGCAGGCTTCTTGATTGTGCAAAGGACCGTGCCTACGTAATGAGGGGAATTTATCAAAACTGGAGCGGACAAAATCTGGAGCAGCTGTGCACAGCAGCCAATCAGCTTCTAGCATTCATTTTCAAATCTTAACTGAACAAACTGAAGAGAGAAGCTGATTGGTTGCAATGCACAGCTGCTCCAGATTTTGTCTGCTCCAGTTTTGATAAATTCCCCCCATTACATATGAGAAGAGTGAACGTACATGACATACAGTGATGATCCTTCAGTGCATCTCTGTAATACTCGCACATCTCCCCAGGTTTTGTCTGTTTACCATCACTACGAGTACAGGAAAATTCCTGCTTATCCACCAGAAATCCAGTGAGCTCCTCACTTCCTGTGTGAGCTGACAACTCTGGCTCTGCTGCACTCAATCCTAAGCAGTGGTCAATGAGTATTGAAATGGCCACTTGTAATCCCCATTGGAAGCCCGCATTACTGTATATGCTGTATTTTACCATTGATTGCCACAATTCTAGTATGTATCCAAGTAAATGATACCAAAGACACTATAAAGATTGGTTTTGCAATCAACTTGCCATTGCAAACCAATTGCTAACCATTTCCAAATCTTCCCTTTAACCTTGATGAAGGGGGCCCTTGGCTTATGTTGGCTTTTCTTGAATATGACATTAAAAAAAAAAGACATCTGGACACATTACAATCAATCCGGCACTTTGCTCTATATAGTGCTAACCCAACTGAGATGACAGCAGATCTAAAGCACTAGATAGTGAAAAGAAAACCCTTTCAAGTGAGATAAGACTACCAATTTGGAACTCCATAAAAAATAAGGGATACAGCTCTCTACAAACTCAAAACCCTACCCAGTCCATACTATTTGAATGGCTCCATCAGTGGTTTAAATCAAGCAGAACTCAGCCTGAAGGCAGGAGCGACTGGTGTGTTCTCCTTTTTATAAACTGGATGCACCGATGCCAAGTACAGTACTCGGTACAGGTACAAGTACAGATACTTTTCCAGCTCCAAGACTAGACTAGAGAACAATGAAGAAGTTAGGAGGCCGCTGTCATGTGTAAGGAGCACACGGAGCTCCCGGGATTTCTACATCTCTGTTTTAATGTACGATTTTGTTTTTATAAATATAAATAAAGGGATGCACAGATACCATTTTTGCAAGTACGAGTACTGGTACTTGCCGAGTACTTACAAGTACGAGTACTGATACATTTTTGTTTATGGTCATGTGACAGTTTTTCTAAAACAATACAGACTAATGATTTCAGGACAGTGGTGGAGTGCCAGAGCCCGGTCCCAGCTGCAAACCGCTGCAACCCTGGTAGTTCTTGTGAAAATGTATCAGCACTGGTATCTGAACTGGTATGGGTGCATCCCTAATATAAACCCCAGTGCTTTTGCAACCCTTCATCATGCATTAAATGTTAATATTTGTAAAACAATAATTGTAAACAAATAGTTATAAATATAAAAGATCAGTTTAAATTCTTTTAAACTTAAAAAAAAAAAAAGAATATAATTGATCCAACACCATTATTCTTTTCTATTGTACGTTGCTTGACTTGCAGTTGGTTTTCTTACATAAACCACAGGAAAAAATAATGTTGGTCTATCTGGTGTGCAAATACCAGTCTCTTGACTGATTATACGTTTGCACCTAACATGCAGTAATGGTAAAAACTAGGGTTGCACAGATACCAAGTACAGTACAGGGTACAAGTACGAGTACAAGTACCGATACTTTTGAGCTCCAAGACTAGACTAGAGAAAAATTCAAAAGTTAGAAGGCCGCTGTCATGTGTAAGGAGCACACGGAGCTCCTGGGATTTGTACATCTCTGTTTTAATGTACGATTTTGTTTTTATAAATATAAATAAAAGGATGCACAGATACCAGTTTTGCGAGTACGAGTACTGGTACTTGCCGAGTACTTACAAGTACGAGTACTGATACATTTTTGTTTATTGTCATGTGACGGTTTTTCTAAAACAATACAGACTAATGATTTCAGGACAGTGGTGGAGTGCCAGAGCCCGGTCCCAGCTGCACCCGCTGCACCCCTGGTAGTTCTCATGAAAATGCCAAGTATCTGCACTGGTACTCGAAAAGTATCTGTGCATCCCTAGTAAAAACTAAAGAATAGCAGATTAAAAACATCTGCACAGTGTGGAAAGACTGAAAACACATTAACATCCTCACATCTGGTATGAAATAACCCATATGGCTGTTATGTATAATGCCATTGTGTTTATGCAGGGTGAGGCAATGGTCTCTTTTTCTCCATAGCTTCTCCTCTATCCTCTTCCCCATCTACCCTGCTATAGCTTCACTTAAATGTTCTTAGGTATACATACCAAACCTAAAGTAATAATGAAGTTTCTCCATGGGAAGTTTAATACCCTCCTCTTCAAAGATCATCCCAGGTTTATTGGCACAGTACGTATCTAGAAAGTTCCTGGAGTGGAATTGATGTACATGGTAGAGCTTATGCTGAACAGGATCCATCTGGTAGTATTATATCACCTACGGAGGTCTTCCTCAACAGTCTCTGTCTTCTGATGTGTGTACCTGGTTCTCCACGTCTTATCATTTTATAAGCCCGTGTTACTGCATGATGATCAACATAAGCACCCTGTGACTTGCCACTGGTTTATTTCACAGACTCAGCTGACTAAACACGAAATAGAACACATTTGTTTTAGATTACCGTGAGCATCACAATATTTTTAATCCATAATTAGGGCCGGTACGCACCTAGGGGATTTATCGTGCGGTTTGAGTCGCGCGATATTGCGCAAAACACAGATGCGCATTGAAGTCAATGGAGGCCGTTCACACCTTTGCGGTCTGTCGCGCGAAAAGGTGCAGGAGCTATTTTCGCGCGGTTGTCGGGCGGTTTGGGTCCCATGGACATCTCTATGCATTGAAAACCGCGCGTCAATCGCGGTGTTTACAATGAACAGGAATCAAAGATCTTGCTGCAGTCCTTACCGAAATATCAAAGAACCCGTTGGGACGGGTGGGTGCTTGTAGTGACCACGGATGGCACCGTGAGCAACTAAGATAAAGAAAAAACGTCACCAGCACTCCAAAGGATGATTAAGCAACAGTCCATTTATTGGCACATTGCCATTCAAATGCAAGCGCTTTCGGGTCCTCAGGGGGTCCCCATCATCAGGCTCAGAATGGCACAGTAGTGAAGGATCAAACACCTTAAATAGACATTCAAGTGTGAATTTGAAAACAGGCCCCTCCCTCAGAGGCAGCGTCAGCACCAAGCCCATTCCTGCCATAGGGTATTCAAAAATTACTAACCAAAAATAATCAGATGTATAAGCGGCACGCAAGTGAGTGCGGGCCGTTACTCAGAAGGCACGGGTGGTCGCCTTGGTAACCCAACGCTATGTCGGCACTTTAGCGCCGCCCCCTCGTTCACACGTGTGGAACACGAAAAGGACACGTGTGGACGAGGGGGCGGCGCTAAAGTGCCGACATATCGTTGGGTTACCAAGGCGACCACCCGTGCCTTCTGAGTAACGGCCCGCACTCACTTGCGCGCCGTTTGTACATCGGATTACCCCCAGGTTGGTAATTTTTGAATACCCTATGGCAGGAATGGGCTTGGTGCTGACGCTGCCTCTGAGGGAGGGGCCTGTTTTTAAATTCACACTTGAATGTCTATTTAAGGTGTTTGATCCTTCACTACTGTGCCATTCTGAGCCTGATGATGGGGACCCCCTGAGGACCCGAAAGCGCTTGCATTTGAATGGCAATGTGCCAATAAATGGACTGTTGCTTAATCATCCTTTGGTTTACAATGAACAGTCGCACGATCGAAAACATGCGACAACCGCGCGAAAACAGCTCAGCATCTGAATCGCCTAGGTGTGAACCTAGCCTTAAAGGGTTATTAAACCCTCATTTTTTTTGCCTATATATTTGTATGTTGCTTGCTTCTCTTTGTTTAGAAGTGACAGCTGAAGAACCATATGCAAATTTCACAATTGAATTTTGTACATCACTCAGCTGCTACGAGCCGGCGCTATAGAGGAAGCATCGGCTTATGCGGCTCTGCTCCCTCCGGTGCCGCCTCGCCTCCTCTAGTGCTGGCTTTTTCTAATTCTCTCATGCCTCTCCCACGTCTCTTCAAGTTAGCAGTATAGTTCTGGGGCAAAAAGTTCTATTGTTTTATTGTATAAAACATTCCTAAAAGCTAGTGTAGAGGGTTAGAACAGATCAGGTTCTTGCTGTCATTATTCTTGATCAGAAACTGTTCATTGTTAATGCTCTTCAGAAAATACTGCAGCCGGGCTTAAAGCGTTATTAAACCTTCAGTGTTTTTATATATATATGGCTAGCAAGCATTAGATACTGTATTTGCAAAACGATGACAAAATTGTAAAAACTTTTTGAAAGGGTTAATACTTACCTGTGTCTTCGCTGCACGCTCCCGTCAGAACATCTGAGAATTTCTTGGGCGGCTGCAAAGGATCTTGGGGCGGGCGCATGCGCAGTTCAGATGTTTGGCCGGGAGACGAGGAGAGACACAAGGTAAGTCTATGGAGCAGCGTGCACCCGCACAGACACCGTGGGAGAGGAGGACAGAGGAGTCAGCGCTGGATCGGAGACCCGCAACAGTGCTGTAGGGACAGCTGAAAACTACAGGAAAGAAGAAGACGATCGGATTAAGAGGCATCATTTAAGGCAAGTGCTTATCTTAGCACTGTGGGGGGGAGGGGGCGACTTTAGCCTTTATTGTCACTTTAAGCCTTTTAAAGTGTGGGCAATGCATGCACATTTCTCTGTGTTTAATCCATTTAACCTCGATCCTGCCAGAAATCTAGTGAGCTCCTAACGTCCTGTTCAAACTGACAACACTGTTCCTCTGCTGCATTTAAATCTCAATCAGCCCCATCTGAGTAACCCCTCCCTCCTTTATTTTATAGAGATGAGCTGATGGAAAGTGTTCTGTAGTCCAGGAGAGGAGACCTCAGGCAGCATTGTTTCACAGTATTTGACATCAGAAGCATATCTATGGAGTGAACTTGCATGGTGAAGCTCTTTTAGCCAAAACCCATTTATTATTGACGCTGTGTGGACTTTGTTTTGATGCATGCTGGACGCAGTATAAGCCGGAAACATACAGTACATCCCCAAAAACCTCACCTGGCGACTGTCTGTGTTGATACACATTGATCCGCACTTGCTTTCCTGTGCAGAATGAGCTTTCTCTAAGAGGAGTTTGATATTATAATATAAATAACTTTTAATAATGTTATTGCCTTTGTGGTTGTTTTATGTGTCAAAGCGCACAGTACACTATATACTATATGGCTGAGTGTATGTGGATACCCATCCAAAATACCGACTTCAGGTGCAATAATCCAGATCCATAAGACATGGCTTCATGAGTTCGGTGAGGAGGAGCTCAAGTGGTCACACCCCATAGTCAGGAAGATTATTCTGCTGCCTCCTGGCCCAGTATTGTTGCATCTGAAATTCATGCTCTGCTCATTGATGAAGGTGTTGGTGGAGTGACGGACACTAGTATAAGGGAGCAGTGGCGTAACTAGTGACCCCAGGGCCCCGATGCAAAAATCCCCCCTCGGCCGGCGGCTTACTAACACCCTACTAACACCTGGACGTCGGCTTGCGGGGACGCGGGCGGCGGTTTGCAGAGCCGAGGAGGGCGGCTTGCGGCGGTGTCCAGTTGATTATCTCTGAACCGCGGCGCTAGGCGTTTGCGTACCGCGGCACCAGCGGAGCAGCCGCCCCGACGGAGGGTGCCGCCCTAGGCAAACGCCTAGTTTGCCTCGCGGTAAATACGCCCCTGGCTGCGACCCTGGTAGTTCCGCCAGTGTAAGGGAGAATTGTAGTGGAGATGGTCAAGACAGTTTAATAGGTCCAGCTGATTTTCACCGACTCAACCCCTCTTCCTGTGTTGACTTTAAATACTCAGGTGATAGTAATGTGACCAAATGTGGAATAGAATAAATTTGTTTTAGCTCACAATGTACAATATTTTGAATTCAAAATAAAGCCTGCTCTCATGAATCCAGATCTCCTGTCTTAACCTCCCTTCACCTCTTCTGTGTTCTCTCTTCTTCCTATCAAATCTCCTCTCCTTTGTTCTCTTCTCTTAACCACCCCCCCATTTCTCCTCACATTGCTTGGTTCTCTTTGTCTTTCTTCTATTGTCCCCTCACTGCGGTGGCAGACCTAATAACCAAAGGGCCCTGTGCGGCGGCACCGCCCGCACCGGCGGTAGTTCCGCCACTGCCTCACTTTTGCACTTCTCCTCTCTGCCCTTTTCTCTTCTCCCCACCTCTCCTCTGTTCTCCTATCCTTGTCTACCCTCTCCTCTGTTCTCCTTGCCTCTCTGTTTGTCTCCTCTCCTTATTCCTCCACTCCTTTTCTTGACTCCCCTCTGTTCTCTTCTCCCCTTATCTCTTTACTCCTCTTCTCTCCTCACTTCTTTGCTGTTCTCCTCTCCTCGCCTTTCCTCTGCTCTATTCTCCATTATTTTGTCCTCTTCTCTCCACTCCTTCCCTTTTCTCCCCTCTGTTCTCTATTCCTCATCTTACCTCACCTCACCTCACCTTTGTTTTCTCCTCTCTCTGCTCTCCTTTCCTCTAGCACTCCCCTCTCCTCTGTTCTTCACTCTTCTCCACACCACTTCCTTTCTCTCCTCCCTCTGGTCTCCTATCCTCATCTCACCTCACCTAACCTAACCTTACCTAACCTCTGTTTTTTTATCTCTCCCTCTCACATTCACTTCTCTCCCCTTCACTTGTCTGCTCTCACCTTCACATCTCTCCTCTCACATCTCCTCAACCCTCGCCCTTTCCTCCCTCTCCTCTTCTCCTCTTTCTTTTTTCATCCCTACACCCCTCCAAATTTCTACATTTCCCTCCCCGAGCCCTATGGGGTCTATTCACGATGCTGCCGAAGGATCTAGCCGTAGCTTTGGTAGATCCTTCGGCTAGCTTCGGCCCCAGGACCCCTTCGGTTCAGTAGAACCGAAGGGGTGCTGTACGGGCTATTCACAATAGCCCGTACATCTCCCGATCATGGCCGAGCGGCTCAGTCGAGCCAAACGCATATGCATCAGCTCGGCCGCTCGGCCTGCTTCTGACAGCTGGGCGGAGCCAGTCCGTACCAGCCTGAAGTGAATAGCCGAACAGTGTTTGGCTCCACTTCAGAACGATCATTCACTCGGCTGCCCTCGGCAGCTTCGTGAATAGACTCCTATGTCTTTTCCTCCTGCCAGTTTCCTCACTATTTTCTTTTCTCGACACCAAAAAAAATCTCTACACATAGTGACACAAAAAGGGGGAATTGCCTAATCAGTCCAACCCCAATAGTTTATTACAAGTTTTTTTTAGAGTTACTTAGAACTTTTTTTCTCGTGAAAAAAAAATCCATGAAGTAGGAAGTTAGTGCTGGTTAAGGGGAAATGGAAGGAGATGGGACACAGTGTGTTGGTGTATATAATGAAAGGTCATGACTTTGTCTAGTTGACTCTGCTGCTGGGGTGAATGACTCCACCTTCCAATTGTTGGAAGGCCTTCTATCATTCCACCCTAGTCAGGGCGAGCCAACCACTACTTTTCTTAGACCTCTCAATCGTTCCCAAAGCTCACAGGATCCTGAGTTTTGTAGCTTTGCACCCTTTGAACAACCCATCAGGGAAGTCAATATGGATGAGCGGCCATTCTCTGCAGTTCTAGCCTATCAGTGAAGAAATCTGCAGCATCACTATAGGACGGGTTGGGGAAGACGAGGGGAACTTCTGGGCAAGTTACATATGGCTGGACTTGTTGCTGTGATTTAATATTCATTGTAATTGTTGAAGCTCCGACACCTGTAAGGAATCTGAACTGAATGTGAAATGTCTGGATAATCGGCATATCAGAGCCTGCTACATCGATGTGCTCTTAAAAGGAACTAACGTTACAAATCTACCTCTTCTCCACCAACAATGAATTTGCCCAATGTTGAAGGGAAATTAAATCAGTTCTTAAAAGAATAATGTTGATACATCAGGCTTATAGTTCCAAAAAATGTCCAGACAGGTAGAACACAATACCGCCCTTTGTAAAGTTTGTTGTCCTGCCATGACATTGAGTCATAGGGAACAAATGCACACAGTGGCAGAACAAGGTCCTGTGTCACCCAAGGGATAGATTGCAAAGCAAACTTATGTTTCTCGTACAAACCATGATGACGTTATTTACAAATGAATGAAAGTTTAATTTTTTTGTTTTTTGGGGTGATTTACATAATGCTGAGCTACAAAAACAAACCAACAAAATGGAAGAAAATAAAATGTTTACATACAAACAGTAAAAGAGTATTAACACAAAATGGAAAAGGGAAGAAAAGGGTTACGGAAAATGAATAAGAGTTGCTGAGTGTTAAAGGAGAACTATGGGGTTAAGGCTTTTCCCCATAGTTCTCCTTAGGGTAACGGGAGGACACAAACTAGCGTCCTCCCGTCACCCTAGACTCAGTATACCGCGAGCTGTAGCTTGCGGTATACGGAGACGCCGCAGCTGAAGCGGATCCCGACAACTGTGCCGGGATCCGCCCAGCTGCGTGACTGACAGCTGGCTCTGCCTATCTAGAGGCTGAGCCAGCTGTACCCACCCCCTCCCCCGTCCGTTCCGCCAGTCAGCGCTGGCGGATCGGAGCGGGGAGGGGGGAATCCAGCCCCTCCCCCTGTCACTGCAGAGAGCTGTCACAGGATCGAGAGGTGAGCGAACGCCGGTATGTGTTCGCTCACCTCCCGATCTACTGAGCCGACCTGTGACAGTCTCACTGTCACAGGTCGGCTAGAACTATCATGTGAGTGAAAAGCACCCCCCCCTCATAGTTCTCCTTTTAATAAAGGGATAGATAGTGTAGAAGAATCACAAATAAATGTTCCGGAATCAGAATATTTCAATTTTAGTCCTTTTATTAGCTCAAAAAATCCATGAAAGATGCTAACAACTTTCTGAGGTCTTAGGATGTCCCCTTCCTCACGGCTTCTACATGTTTGGCAGCCTAAAATACTTGCTAGCTAAAAATGGCCCCAGCTTGATTACTTCAGTGTAAAAAGCTGTTTTTCAAGTTTTGAGATTGGTGGTCTGTATGTCTATGGCCGCCTCAACACCTCCACCAGTACATAGGTGGCATGCTGAGATATGTTTCTGAGTTCTGTTTTCTGCCTAAATCTTCTGTTCTTTACAAGCTGTGCAGAACACAACCGAATCAAAATCACTCAGATCACTCTCGGTCTTTCTTTGGGAAACCTCAATATGTCTGATGACGAACCCCTCATTACTGAGAATGCTTTTCAGATCATTTTCATTGTACTTTACACCGTGGAATTTGTCTCCCCCAATCACATAGAATGTGCCATTTAAAAGTCCATAGTACAGCAAGACCCCCCCAGGTTTCACAAGCTTTAGGAATCTCCCGAGGTTTCTCCCGAAATCTTCAAGGTCTCTGCTGATGGCTGCCACAACACAATTGATCATTAGGCAGTCGGCTTGCGGTAGCACCAGCGGGTCTGTGAGATTTTCCCGACTCAGATCGAATTTTACAACATGTGTAATTGCTGCCCTGAGTCCAATATCCTTGTCCTCGGGCTCCTCATATTGGTCACTGGAATGCAGAAGCACATACAATGTCACGTACAACATTCAACTGGTATTGGGCAGCACGGTGGCTTAGTGGTTCTGCTCTGCATTGCTGTGGTCCATTGTTGGAATGCTGGTCAGGACACTAGCGGTATGGAGTTTTATTTTTTTCTTCTCCCCCCTCCCCCTCCATTGGGGACCACATGCTTCATGGCAAAAAATAATTCTTCTAATGTTACTATCACATTTTATGTTAGGATGCAAATCATCGGCGAAAAGTATTATAGCATTATACTCATAATTATAAAATACCTAATTAAAAAATCTTAAAGGGTTATTATTTTTTTTTACTAAATATGTTTTAGATATGATGTCTGGTCCCCTTCCCAACACTACCGGCTCATCACCCCAAGCATTCCACTTAACTCTGATAAAAAAAGGCTGGCGGATACCTCACCTTGTTCCTGCCAACTCCGTAGCAAGTGCTGAGGTGTGCGACCAATCAAATGCTCCGGTTCGGCTGTCCATCCATTTTTTCACTTCTACAATACAGTGGTCCGTAGGCTTAAGAAGGATGATATCTGTGAAATATTTCGTCGCTGAATAGAGATGGTGAATGATGGGACCAATGCTGAAGTCAAGCAACAAGCCTCCTTTAATGTCACCTGCAACAACAGATTCAAATAAAATGAAAAGACGAGCAATCACCATATATTCACAATACAGCAAAGAGGGCTGTGATATGATCTCTATACACATACATTTCAGAACAGTTAAAGCACAACTGCGCTCCACCAGAATATGATAAATTGCCAACAACCATGAAACACTATCCTGCCTAATTGTATATTAAATATTGTTCACATATGTGTCAGCTATAACATGATCAGAAAACTGCAACACTACCAATATAAACCACGTAAGTAAAGGGCATATATAAGGGGTTAGTTTATTCAAAATTGATATTCAGTTTCTTTTGTAGTTGCTGGAGAGTTTAACCGCCTGCCAGTTTCTTCTATGTCTTTCATCAAATTCTGTTGATGAGAACTCTGCACAGAACTTGGCTCTGTACACCTGCTGTGCCCATTATGAGGAGCTCCCACCATCCCTGTGCTGAGTGCCCAGGTCTGTACACCTGCTGTGCCCATTATAAGGGGGTTCTCCATCCCTGTGCTGAGTTCCCGGGTCTGTACAGCTGCTGTGCCCATTATGCCGGGTTCCTCCATCCCTCCATCCCTGTGCTGAGTTCCCAGGTCTGTACACCTGCTGTGCCCATTATAAGGGGGTTCTCCATCCCTGTGCTGAGTTCCCGGGTCTGTACAGCTGCTGTGCCCATTATGCCGGGTTCCTCCATCCCTCCATCCCTGTGCTGAGTTCCCAGGTCTGTACACCTGCTGTGCCCATCATACGGGGTTCCCACCATTGCTGCTGGATTTACAGCATTATTACAGTATTATTTGTTTTATATGATGGACAATAAGCAGCAGTGAATATAGCATGGCATAACTTAACTAACATACTGCTAGTACTGGTCAAGTAGCACAAACTGTCTCACAAAGCTGTCAATTGTCCCTCACCAACTCCAACACACACTGACAAGACGATTCTGGGAGAGCTTACTTTTATAGGGATGGGGCGGTCGGGCGGACACATTTTTAAAGCCCCATTATTGTCCATAATTTGTCACCTGACCAGAGTTCACAGGTCACACAAAGCATTACGGGGTTTTCTTCTGGTACATGGGCGAACTTGACCAAAAGTTCTCTGTTTGGGTAAACAGCCAACAGGCAGTTTGGTGGGAACCCAACTCAGCAGTAAACGTGAACCTCATGCCTAATCAGCAGCACCTCAGCTTTCTCTCTACCGGGCTGGTCTAAAAATATGACTATCACGCCCTCTATTTCAGTCGTTTCTCCACTTGTACAAGACCATTCTGTAAATCAGGGGTAGCCAAACCCTCCAGCTGTGGTGGTACTACAAATCCCATGATGCATCTCTCTCCGGGAGTCATGTCTGTGGCTGTGAGAATCTTGCAATGCCTCATGGGATTTGTAGTTCCACCACAGCTGGAGGGCCAGAGTTTGGCTACCCCTGCTGTAAATCAAAACTCCATGAAGTCTTTCTCCTAATATTCACTTCCTGTACTCTCTAGCGGTGTTTAAACAAATAATTTATTCATTAAAAAGAGCTCTACCTACCTGTGGAAAATGCTTGGTGAAATTTCTCCATAGGATACCTCATAAACTCGTGAGCAAAGGCCACTTCTGGGTTACTGGAACAGTAAGTGTCGAGGAATTTCCGGGAGTGGAAGCCATCTACATAGTAGTGCTTACGAGAGCCGGGCTCCATCCTGTGATATGGTTATCTGCACTAGAGCAATCCTTCAGTGTTGTTTCTTATCTTCTGATGTGTGTGTGATAAATTCAACATATTAAATAACTATGTGACTTCATTAGAATGTCTCCCAATATTATCACATTGTGACTCAAGTCATCATGCTTTGATAGCAGAGATTCATGTGACTGCAATGTGATCAGCCAACAAATACATCATTTAAATAATATCTTTCAGATAGGGCCACAGGAGTCCCGGTGCCCACAATATGGCAACCAGCGCCGGATTTACTCTCCCTGCCGCCCCAAGGCCAGGTTCCGCAATGCACCCCCCTCCACGCCAACCCCCCGCCCCCCATCAACAGAGAGTGGCAACCGGATGGCAGGGGCAGTTTTATTTATTTTTATTGTTTCTTTATTTATTTTGTACTTTTTTATTGTTATTTATTTTTTTACTTTTTTTTTAAACATTTTTGGCTTATTGTTTATTTGTTTTTTTTATAATTATTTTCTTATTATTTTTTACTTTTGAATCACTTTTTTTTATTTTATTCAACTATTATTTCTTATTTTTGTAATTTTGATAAAAAAACTTAAGTTTTTTCACTTAACTTTATTGCCATCACACAGGAGATAGCTAACAAGCCCCTGTGTGATAGCCTTTGGAGGTGACAGGTTCTCTTTATTGACCCCGTCACCTCCAATACAGGAGTTCTTGCACAGCACTGTGCTGGAACTCCTGTGACAGCTGAGATGGGAAGAGCACAGCTCACCCCTCTCACTGTGTACACAGAGCGGCAGGGTACATGCTCCCTGCATCGGCGGCCAGTGAGGAGAGACTCGGCGGGTGGGGAGGACGGAACCAGAGGAGAGCGCACATTTTACACGTGATCGCGGTGACATCGCCGCAATCACTTGTAAACGAACAAGCGGATTCCCCACACTACATTTAGTCCTGCCTTCCCAAAGCAGGACTAAATGTAGAAGGCAACTTAACGCAACTTTATGTTCCGGGCGTCAGGGGATTCCACACCGCTGCCGACCCTTGGCACCCTGCCGCCCCGAGGCCTGGCCTTGGTGGCCTTGTGGGGAATCCGGGCCTGATGGCACCATGCCTAAAGAGAGGAGACGCCTTACAGGCTTCTTGAAATGGGTAGGCAGTGTAGTCACCTCAAATAGTCATTGGCCCTAGAGGAAAAGTAGTTGTGATTTTAGGAGTCACTAGGATTTAAGTGCCTGCCCCTCCCCTTAAGTGATGAGGCACATCAGTAGAGGGGCTCGGGTATATATATAAATATATATATTGCCAAAAGTATTGGGACGCCTGCCTTTACACATAAACTTTAATGGCATCCCAGTCTTAATCCGTAGGGTTCAGTATTGGGTTGGCTCCACCCTTTGCCGGGAATATTGGAGCATTTGTGAGGTCAGGTACTGATGTTGGAGGAGGAGGCCGGGCTCGCAGTCTCCGCTCTAATTCATCCCAAAGGTTTTCTATGGGGTTGAGGTCAGGACTCTGTGCGGCCAGTCACGTTCCTCCCCCCCAAACTCCCCCACCCATGTCTTTATGGACCTTGCTTTGTGCACTGGTGCGCAGTCATGTTGGAACAGGAAGGGGCCGTCCCCAAACTCCTCCCACAAAGTTGGGAGCATGAAATTGTCCAAAATGTCTTGGTCTGCTGATGTCTTAAGAGTTCCCTTCACTGGAACTAAGGGGCCAAGCCCAACTCCCAAACTTTACACTTGGCATAATGCAGTCAGGCAAGTATCGTTCCCCTGGCAACCGCCAAACCCAGACACGCCCATCGGATTGCCAGACAGAGAAGCGTGATTGGTCACTCCAGAGAACAACGTCTCCACTTCTCTAGAGTCCAGTGGCGGCGTGCTTTACACCACGGCATCCCACGCTTTGCATTGCACTTGGTGATGTGCGGCTTGGATGCAGCTGCTCGGCCATGGAAACCCATTCCATGAAGCTCTCTACGCACTGTTGTTGTGCCAATCTGAAGGCCACACGAAGTTTGGAGTCTGTAGCTATTGACTCTGCTGTGCGCTTCAGCATGCGCTGACTCCGCTCTGTCATTTTACGTGGCCGACCACTTCCTGGCTGAGTTGCTGTTGTTCCCAGTCGCTTCCACTTTGTTATAATCCCAGTAACAGGTGACCGCGGAATATTTAGTAGCAAGGAAATGTCACGGATGGACTTATTGCACAGGTGACAACCTATCACGGTACCACGCTTGTAGTCACTGAGCTCCTGAGAGCGACCCATTCTATCACCATTGTTTGTAGAAGTGTCTGCATGCCGAGGTGCCTCATCCTATACACCGGGGGCCATGGAGGGGATTGGAAGACCTGAATCCAATGATTTGGAGGGGTGTCCCAATACTTTTGGCAATACAGTGTGTATATATATATATAGTGTTAGTAGGGAGCCGACAGTGGTAGTTGGTCATGGGAAGTTCTTAATGGACCAAGCGCAGCAAAAATGTATATGGTGTTTTTCCATCGCTTTGAGCTTCTCCTTAGTTGAGTGAAGCAGGAGCAGCACTTTTGGGACTACTCACACTCCCATGAGAAGGAGGCAGGACTATGGGAAGCGGCGTCACAAGGGGGGTGCCCCCCACACTCACCTGGGTGACACCATTGCAGGGCTGACACCAAAATGACTGACAGTCATTTTGGTGCCACCCCCTCTAAAATATCAGGCACTCGGTCATGGGCCGAGAGCCTGACAACGTCAGGAGAGAGGAGGGGACCCAGGAGACCACTTGGTGGACATTTGGTGGCAAAGAGCACAGACACAGAGCCTGAGAAATGGTGTTTGTTACTCTACCAGCAAATGCTTGCAGTATGAGAATGAGTTGAATATTGTTGGAACTTCTTGCACAGCCTCACAGAGAAACACAAGCACACAGTCTGATATGCATGCTGCACATGGCTTGAAAACAGGAAGGAAGCCACAGCTTTATTCTCTACCTTGTTCAATACAACAGAGTATATACCATAACTATAACAGAACACTGCCATCTAGTGACCGAAAATGTATACTGCAGTAGTTGATAGACACAATATGTATTCTAAATAATATGCATAATAAGGGTACATTTTTTTCTAGGAGTTAGCATTGGACTTAAATTATGGTTTAAGTGTTAGAGCAGAAATTTGATTTGTCTTTACTTTTTTTAAGTGTGAAAGCTCATCTAAAGTTCCCTCCTCATGTATCACTTCCCCATCCCTTTTAGATTGTAAGCCCTCCTTACCATCTTGTCTTGAATTGTATTGTGATTGTAATGTCTTCCTTATATTGTAAAGCGCTGCGCAAACTGTTGGCGCTATATAAATCCTGTATAATAACAATAATAAATAATTTTTTTAAAAAGTTTGGCTTAGCATGTGGAAGGATTTGAGTGTCATTTCAGGATGTTATTTGATGCATCCCATAGGGGAACAGGAAGTAAGTATCCCATAGGGGAGACAGGAAGTAAAGGGGAAATTTCCCTTTACTTCCTGTCTCTGAGACACAATAGGACTGACAGTAAATCTCCTCAAAGTGAAGGGAAATTCCTCCCCTCTTAAACAGTTATGTGTTCTACCCCTTCTTCTCCCAAGGCAGTGCATGTTCCACTCTTTTTTTTTTTTTTATCTTGTTGCTCCTTACATACATTTGTTTTCTACTATTTATCAATTTTCCCCAATTCTTCTCAGAAGCTTTTGTCTAATCACTTGCAGCTGTTTCTTCCGTCACTACTTCCAACATCCATCATTCCTACCTAGGGATCAAAGAGTGCATCCATGCACAACACCAAACCACACCACACTACACCACAAAATGTAAAGTCTGAGCTGTTTTATTGTAAAGAACAACAAGCCAATGTGCTTTTCAGGGTGTTGTTTGTGCCCCCTTTATTAGGACTTAAAGGAGAACTATGAGGTGAGTGCTTTTCACTCACCTCATAGTTCTAGCCGACCTGTGACAATGAGACTGTCACAGGTCGGCTCAGTAGATCGGGAGGTGAGGGAACACATCCCGGCATTCCCTCACCTCTCGATCCTGTCACGGCTCTCTGCCGTGACAGGGGAGGGGCTGGATTCCCCCCTCCGCTCCGATCTGCCACGGCTGACTGGCGGAACGGACGGGGGAGGGGGCGGGTACAGCTGGCTCTGCCTCTAGATAGGCAGAGCCAGCTGTCAGTCACGCAGCTGGGCGAATCCCAGCACAATTGTCGGGATCCGCTTCAGCTGCAGCGTCTCAGTATATCGCGAGCTACAGCTCGCGGTATACTGAGCCTAAGGTGACGGGAGGATGCTAGTTTGTGTCCTCCCGTTACCCTAAGGAGAACTATAGGGAAAAGCCTTAACCCCATAGTTCTCCTTTAAAATGCTGTATGTAATGAAAGGTCATGACTTCACGACTTGACTGCCGGGGTGAATGACTCCAGCTGCCAATGGTTGGAAGGCGTTCTATCATTCCACCCTATTCCACCCATTACTTTTCTTAGACCTCTCCTTCCTTCCCAAAGCTCACAGGATGATGAGATTTGTAGCTTTGCACCCTTCAAACAACTCATCGGGGAAGTCAGTACAATATGGAAGAGTGGCCATTCTCTGCAGTTCTAGCAATCTGCAGCATCACTATAGGACAGGTTGGGGAAGATGAGGATAACTTCTGTGCAAGTTACATACAGGGCCGGCGCTACCGCAAGGCAAGTCAGGCATCCGCCTGAGGGTGCTGTAGGGTGAGGGCGGAAAAAACAGGGCATTGTGACAAGTACTTGTACTTGCCAAAATGCCCCGATGTTTGCGCTATGTTTTTTTTTTTCCACTTACCTTCGGTGCGGGAGAGCAGCGGCGAGTCAGCGCTGGTCCGGTGGGAGGAGCTCCAGGAGGGGTCCTAATTTAGCTGGCCGGCGACTGCCAGAGGATCCCGACACGCGCGGCACCTTGCCTTGTAGGCAAGAATCCTAGCACCAGACACCGGCCCTGGTTACATATGGCTGGACTTGTTGCTGTTATTTAATATACATTTTAATTGTTGAACCCCGGACACCTGTAAGAAATCTGAACTGAATGTGAAATGTCTGGATAA